GAATATGGCACTTATTTCTAAATCCAAGATGGTGGGCACGATTTTTCGAGTAATGGCAAGTTGGGTAACGTTTTCGAGGTATTTGTGGATGCTCATTACGAATATAGCACTTATTTCTAAATCAAGATGGCGGACACGATTTTTCAAATAAATGCAATATGGGTATCCATTTGGAGGTATTTGGGGATGCTCATTACGAAGATGGAACTCATTACTATATCCAAGAAAGCGGCACGATTTCTCGAATACGAGAGTCATGCCAAAAGAAATTAGATTTTCAAAAATTATAAAATTTATTATTTATTACATGCATCGATTTTTTCAAAATATTCACCATGAACGCGTATACACTTTTCCATTCGTCGAAACCACTTGGAATCTTTAGAACATCTTTAGATATCTCAGGTATCTCCAAGTTCTAAGCAGCCAATGCATCTTCTTTACTTTCAAACCGCTTGTCTTTTAATTTCTTTAAAATTTTTGAAAAGAGGTAAAAATCACAAGGTGCTAGGTCAGGGGAATATGGTGGGTGGGGAAGTGTGCGTCGCGGCACTGTCGTGATGCCAGAGGAGGTGCCGGATTCCTGACTTCAGCCGCTTGTCATACCAAGCTGACAAGACTTTTGGGGCACAAACTGTTATATACCATTCGAAGTTAACTGTCCTTTGATCCTCTAGTACTACAGTAGCAATATGTATCGTCATGCAGAAAAATGGGGCGACCATTTGTTTCTATGCGCTTCGTACGACGATTCGTTGGCATCGGCTCATCTTCAAAGCACCATACAGTGGACTGTCGCTTTGTTTCAGGATCATAGTTATATATAACCATGTTTCGTTACCTGTCAGTATATCATAAACGTTTTTTTCTCGCCAGCGTCGAATGTATCTATCATAAATTTGCACCAATCCACGCGACGTTCTTTCTTTCTACTCACCGTTAAGTTTGTGCGGAATCCATCTTGAACAACGCTTATGGAGGGACAGTTGCTCGTGAATAATAGTTTGCAATGCTGCTGATCCAATGCCCAGTTCTTGTTCAAGCTCTACGTATGTAGTCCGCCGGTTTTCACGAATTATTTTTTCGACAGCTTGAACGTTTTCTTGAGTAACCGCGGTTGGCGGTCGACCTGACTTCGCCTCATCTTCAAAGCTTAAAATTGTGGCTAAAAGTTAAAAATATTCTTGCGAATTTAAACCTTCTTTGTAGTCATAAGGAATCATAACACGAAAATCACGTCGAGAGAGTTCCATTGTTGCGAACAAAATTCCCACCAGATTGTCTCTGAAAAATAAAAAAATTAGTAAAAAAGAATTCGATTTAAGCCGTGTCCGAACTTACAGGGCGTTAAAATCGTATACAGAGCGTCAATCACGCTTTAATCTTCGTTTGTTCGACTGACAGCGCGCTTGTCAATGATGCCGTATTGTGTGTAAAACCTTGTAAAAATTACTCAACTAAAGTGAAAAAACAGGGTGGTATATCATATTTTCAGTAAGTACTACATTGTGTTATCATAGTTATCATTTAAAAGTGTTATTTATGCACTAGTATATATAGTATTTAATTTATATTTAAATTAATCGTAAATATAAATTACAAAAGCAATCAAAATAATCAAATAGCGAACTTCTCTTTCCGACTCATTGCTTGCGTAAAAGACTGAACGAGACCCATCACGTCAATTTCAATTGTTTGAAACACAAGCGTTTGAAATATTTAGAACAAAAATTTCATAGAGTCGCTTTGATGCTAATGTTATTATTAAAATATTTTTTACTACATGTTAGGAATACTTTCAAATATTGTTGTACTCTTTCTACGGCTCGGGGTTACGAGTCAGAAGACCGAAAATACATTTGCCCGACATAACGTTTGCATGAATTTCCATAATCCCGAAGGTATTTTTTTAGATTTTTCGAGAGAAATATGTCTATGGCCTACATTTATTTCTCTCGTGAGTTTGGGTGTAATTTGTGGTTGTCTATATGTGTGTCCATGGCACCCGCGACACAGGGTTTCCCTAATGCGGGGCAATGTTGAGTGTGTGCGTTATTATAATAATTATTATTAATTAGCACCGAAGTGTTTATTTTGGAAAGCGTTTCTCTTGCGCAATCAATATCGTGCATTTTAACTTTGTAATTATCTCACAACGGCAAATACCCCACTACCGTCATAGCCGTACTTTTTCATGCACAACAAACATTTGCAAGAACTATAAGCAGTACGACTATGACTGTTGACGGAATCAACCGTCGTCAGTGATAAACCGTAATAATTATATTGAATCAATGTAAGCACTACGGCATATAGAAAAGTGGTGACGTTTTTGTAAGCAGTATAATTTCAGTACGATGCACGAACGGGTTAAGAAAATAATAAGAAAAGAAATGAAACCAGAGCTGATGCAAGCTTGATCAAAGACCATAATATTAAAGCTTTGGTATGTAATTACATCAATGAGTGAACTGTGCATACAAAGGAGAGAATACAGGAATTTATCCAGGAAACATAGCTTGAACTTAAGAAGAAAGTGACAAGTATTAACAGAGAACATCTTACATCGCCAAAATGCATTAAGAATAAAAAGTTGGATGAATGACAAAATATACCAACTTAAGAAACAAAGAAGGTAATTGAAGCAGACAGTGTAAATTAAATAGGATTTTTTTTAAAGTTTAAGCAATTCGTAAAAAGTCAGACATCCTAGCTCGTAATAAATGGCATTGTACAAAATTCAACATTAACGTATAAAAATTATTTATAAATCATAAAGGCTACTCCATTATACCTGTGTTCAAGTAGTTTTCACTAGAAGCTATATATGGTGCATTTTGGTAAGTTTCCAGTAGAAGCTGAATATGGTGTATTTGGCGTCTTTCAATTGTTGCAAGCAAAATTAGGCAGTACTGCAATGACATTACAATTTAAATTCAACGTTTTAGCTTTTTATATTCCTTTACATGTCACTACGTTTAAATATGTTGACTTGGGACATTTTTTTGTGGTTTTTGTATTAGACCTGTCGTCCATTAATTTGTAAGTCAATAGTATATAACCAAAATTTGAAAGTTATAAATGGCGGATTTCTTTAGTGTTGTACCATAATCTATCGATAACTCATTATCGGCATGCAAATGTATGGCTTGAATGTTGAAACTGTTTTTTTTTTGTTTCTTTAGTTTACTGTAACCAAAGTATGCCTAAACAAACACAAGTCTCATAATTTAATCTCGAGTGGTTATTATAAATGTCAACACACATTTTTAAACTTTTTTTAAATTTATTTTCAAGATTACAACTGGTAACTTATTTAGTAAAAGTCATGGAACTGCTGTGCAGTTTCCTGGCGACATGCGCATTCTTACTTAATTATACTTACTTTACTGGTATATAACATTACATAGTATTCATTGTACTTCCTAAATAAAATATAAAAATTACTATAAGAGGTACACCTTTAACCTACATTTTAGTACATATTTACGTAACGTCTTTTAACTAACTGTCAAATACAAATCTGTTCAGGTTTCTGCGGATTCTAGTATTAGCAAATAGGCTGTCTATACGTTGGTACTGGCCTTTACCCGGCAACGTTGGACTAACATGTCATTGTATTACAGGCTTTAAAACTTAAAACATGTTTTTTTACCGTGTAGAAGAAATGAACCTTTTTTCTAATTGCGCAGAGGTCAAAATCATCGAGATCTTTCTTTGGTCGACCTTTCCTATGTTTACCAGGTGTAGAAAACACGCCATTATTTTTTTCACCTTCTTCAACAATTTTTCTTATGGTATTGACAGATTTACCTAAAATAAATACCAAACATACACAAATATACAAAAACACCAATTTATTTGAATTTTAAGTCTTGAAAGAATCAAAAATATTAAGTCAACTTATAAATGATACGTAAACATAACCTTAGTTACTATTTTGTCAACTAAACACAAAAACTCGTTAATTGTATATTATAAGTAGTGCAAAGTGCGTAATTCGACATGTAGAACGTAATAATAATTTGCATAAATACCTGTCATATCGGCTGTTCTCTGATAAACATTGTTAATTTCAGACAAAATTTGTCCCGCTTGAGATTCAGCCAAACATTGTAAAAAAACTTGGTATATCACTGTTCTACCACATCATTTTGTTCATTTAAATAACAAAAGAAGCAACAACCGTACGAGAATTTACAGAACTTCGTATAAAATTACTCAGCGCATACAACAATACGCAACAACGCCGTGGGGCGACGG